TGTACGGTATGCACTTTTACTCGTAAAGCTGCTTATATTAACAGACATCAACAACAAATCAGTTTGACTAATCCCCCTGATGTGTGAGGACCTTTTGATTTAGCATGCCGACTTTGTGCGCTGTAGGTGTGATCTCCAACCAGACCTGTACAATAAAAGAGGCGCAAAGGTCAGACCTTTAGTGATTCTCATAAGCTTAAAGGAAAGCACTAATGCAACTTACAGCAGCTTAGCCTGGTCTCTGTTAACCTCTTAGCCAAACAAAAGGTCTACCCATGCACAGAGACCTGCTGTGACGGATGTGGGTTAAAGTTACCAAATGCTCACGTTACAAGGCTTAAAAAAAATCTAAAATCCTCCTTTTCCTGCCAGCTTTTTTAATCGACCTCTAACTCTTTGGCTTTTGTGCCTCCTCAGAGAAAAAGTTTTTTTTTGAAGACCACAGGGACGACATGTTTTGTCATTCACGGGGGAGTTCCTGTAAAAACATGTGATGAGCATAAAGGCTCCTTAAACCAGGCGTGTTTGGAAGCAGCAGTGAATACCTCACGCTGGGTTTTTTCTGCTGTTATTGGAAACCCTCGGTTTGGAGGCTCTGATTGTTTATTCTGTCCTCCTCTTTTTGTGGAGACCTTCACATGACCAAGCTGGTATGGCAGAGAAAACAGACCAGGAATTCCACAGGAGCTCTGCCGAATGCCAAGACGATGGATGGGTGACTCACGCAGCAAATTACATTTAGATCTGTGAGACAGTATGCGGACGTTACAGTGCTTCCCTTCCCTCCAGTTAAAGGAACAGCCCTCTTAGCAAGAAAACAAGAAGCTTGTCCCCCCAAAGAGTCTCTAATCTGTTAAAAATACCAAATTTTTGGTCAATAAAATATTGCATTTATTTGTTTTTTCTACATGACCCTTGTGTAGCAACGCATTTCTAATTGACTGAGGGTTTGTAAAATACTTGAACTCATGATTTACCACAAAAATGCAATACTTCTAGTAAAAATCAACTAAACTTTAAAGCAGTGCTTTGAATCGTCAAGTTCAACATTTTAACCATCAGGATTTTATTTGATCATCTGACTCAAAACTCTTGGGAGATTTTAATGAGGCAAATATTTTACATCTCTTCAAGTTTTGCATGCTTTGATTCCAAGCAGCTGGACTTTCTGATCATTTAAATCATTTAAATTGGGCTTGATTAATAGATTTACAGGTTTCTGAAGGTCTATCTTTGGAGTTAGGTGTTATTTCACCTGTTTCCTGTTGTTGCTGACTGTGACAACAAATTGTGCAGTGTGTGTTTACACAGGAGGACATAACTCAAGCGTAAAAATCAATCTGCGGCAGCTGAACAATATCTGAAAGTTATGCTTTTAACAATAAGAAAAAAAATTAGCAAGGCCCTCCAGGACTTGTGGATCCTTCAGTTGATCATCTGCATAACAAGTTTTCAGCAGATGGATCTTTGAGTTACCGTTATTGTGCTAAAATACAAATTTCTGTCAGTCAAACTGTGTTATGTCTGGAGTTTTTCATACATTCGTTGAAATAAACTGGAGCAAAAAGTGCCCAAAGTGTTCATTTCAGATTTGATTTTTGCCAAGTTGTCTATTGTGAGTTGATAGAACAGAGGTTCATCCCTTGAGTTTTGGGGTGCATTCACACCAGCCCTGTTTAGTCTGCTTGAATCGAACTCTAGTCCGTTTGCCTAGAAAGTCTGGTTCGTTTGGGGAGGTGTGAACACGCAATCGAACTCTGGTCCACCTAACTAGGTCTTGGTTCAGTTGAAGTGAACTCTAGTGCGGTTCGAATGCAGTGTGAATGCAAGCGGACTGGAGACCGCTCCAAAAGCAGGAAGTGGACAAGAGCACAGGGCAATCATCCCACATTTCTCTTCCCTCATACAGAGCTGTCAGACACCTTGTGTGAAAAACAACATTCTCCGTGGTCTCCTGCGTCATCTTTCGTTCATACTGAGTCCATTGTTGAAAAACGACAAAACAGAAATCCTGAAACCGTTAAAATTTGACCCACTCCGTTTTTGTCTTTATTTTCAGAAGAAGAAGATGTGTCTTCTTCAGAGGTTGTTGTGTCGTTTCCTTCAGTAGTTCTTGGTGCAGCGCCACCACAGGTGAGGAGGGGAACAGGTTGGCTCATTGACTCTGTGCAGTGTGAATGCAAACCGTACCAGCTGAAATGTAAACAAATGTTCTGAATATTGGTCCCCAGTTGAACCGAGTCTACCGGACTATCAGGTGTGAAAACAGCCTTGGAGTCTTTTATGGCCTAATGATTCACAGGTCACGATTAGGTCACCTAACATTCATTTCTATGGAAATGGTCAAGTCCAAGGACAGAACGTTAATGAAAAAGCATCCAAACTATGAAGAAGGAGGAAAAACAATCTTCAGATTTGGCTTATTACAAAGAATTTAATTTGACATGGTCTTCGTGACTTTGTAATGAGAACCTTTGAATTCCTTTAAAAATGCCACATGTTTTCCTTGCACATCACTGCGTACACTGTAGGTAAGTTTGTTGGAGTCAGCCTCCCCACCATCACAGACATCTACACCTCCAGATGCAGGAAGAGGGCCACCTGCATCATGAAGGACCCCACTCATCCAGCACACACACTTTTTGCCCCGCTCCCCTCAGGAAGGAGGTTGAGGAGCATTAAGTGTAGAAACACTAGACTGAGGAACAGCTTCTACCCTGAGGCTGTTAGACTCATGAATCTCTAACCAGAATAATCACTGTGAAAAATCACATCATGTTGCTGCTGATCTGTTTCATGTTGCTGCTGATCTGTTTCATGTTGCTGCTGATCTGTTTCATGTTGCTGCTGTGTTCATTCGTGCTCATCTGCTCACACAGGCTCATGTTCGTGCTGCTGTTCGGCATATTGTTTATATACTACTAGTACTTAGTGTATTTAATGTTTTTCTTAGTTCATATCTTTGATCTTATTACTGTTTTTATTTTACATTTTATACTTTTGTTGGATGCTACTGGGACCCTGTGTACACGTGTACCACATGTGGTGCGAATGACAAATAAAAAACCTTGAATAACACTTTGTTTTGCATACAGGCACATAGACCTTAGTGCTAAATGTGGATCGTAAAGTTTGTAATCAACAAAGATGATTGAATCGGCCTTCCCAGAACGTGTGAAACACTCGTGCCACCTGATCTGAGACATCCTTCACACGGACCTGTGAGTGTGTGCGGCAGGTGTGAAAAAGAGCCGGCAGCAGATCATATAACCTTTTGACAAGTTGCTCAACAACAACAGGCGCTCCCTGTTATTATTGGGTCAACAGAGCCGGAGGAGGTCTTCGGGATCACAGCAGAGTTGAGAACATGAGAGTGAGTGCCAAACGCTCTGGGGCCCCCGCCACACCACCAGCGCCACCACCCCGCCCGTCCTTCTTTGTCTTACGGCAGTGTTGAGGTTAACTCCCCCGTGCTCCCAGGCTGGCCCGGGGTCAGGGGGGAAACAGGCAGCCAGTCAGGCAGCCCAGCATTCTTTCTGGATGTGTGTGTGTGGGTTTGGCTGCAGCCCACTCTGTGCTCTTTGACTCCACTGGCCTTATAAGGCATCCGGCGCCATGGCAACAGCAGGGCTTGAATAGCAGTGTCAAATCCCTCAGCACACAGACACACGCTCACTCTCCCTGAAGGAGGGAGCCAAGCAGAGAAAGAGGAGGCTATCTCTGAGCTCTGCGGCGTCTGGCTTTCACTAAAACCTCTGTGACCGTGTTTTTTTTTTTCCTCCGCTTGTTTGACTAATTTATTCCTGCACTGGGCCAGCAGAAAGACTGGAGGAACAGGAAACAAGAAAACAAGAAGCTGAATGATAAAGTGCAACACCGACTCTGAGGTTCTGGCCTCTGGTTGGAGCTGCAGGATGGACAAGCTCTGACGAGAACCAGAAATGGGACAGAGGGAGGCACGACTCTGTGGAGCTTGAGGAGAGATTTCTCAACTCTGCCTTTGTTCCGGCTTGTTGTCGTTTCTGTGACATCTGATCCCCTGACCCCGCCGGCTTTGAAGGAGTTGGAGGAAAACACTTTCGTCACAGAGGGCAGAGCAGGACGACGTCTCCGGATGAACTTTACTGCAGCAGAGGACGTCGAGCTGAAGAGCTGTTTCAGAGCCACACGGATTTCTGACGCGTTTCTGCAACAGAAGGAGTAAATACAGTTTCAAGGAGCTGCCTTGCAGGAGCAACATATCGTCTCCTCTTTTTTTTTTTTTCCAGAAGCTTCAACGAGTTGAGAAAATCTGGACTAAAAGCGCCTCGGATCAGAAAGCAGCAGATAGCACCTCTGCACGGCAGGAACTGGTTGGACTCGTTTTTAAGTTGGAGGAAAGGGCAGGGCAGTTGAACCCTGCCTGAAGGAGAGCTGGGCTTTATTTTCCTCTCTCCTCCTCTCCTTTGGAGGAGATATAGGCTTTTAAAAAAATTACATCCAGAGTGATTCTGTTCTGTCTCTCCACCGTGTTGCAGGTTAGGTGAGACATTTTTCATAGAGGAAAGGCAGACGAAGTAAGTGAGAGGGAAGAAGAAGAAGAAAGGGACAGAGTGAAAGTGTAATTTATTGTTTCCTGTGAAAAGAGCAGAGCTGCACCCTTTTCTCTGCTGCCTGAACTCTGAACCACTTGATGTGTGTGAAGTTTTCTCAGAGCTTTTGAGCCACTGATCAGAGGTCAGGAGGGGGGAGAATAAGAGCGGGGAGGGCAGCGGGATTAAAGAAGAGAGGGAAAACAGCAGAGGAGAGACCTCCGGGGTCAGCTCAGCCAGACGACAGAGAGGGGAAAGGTCAACACAGGCTGGTCAGGGACGAATTCCTCCATCTTCCTTTTAAAGTTACGAGGTAGAACCTGCATCGGATCCAGACCTGACGAGCAGATCTCCGAGGCCGGACTCAGAACTTTGAACTTTCAGGGTGTGTGTATGATACGCTCACAGGGCTGGGGGATCTGAGAAAATATGGCCATGGTGAGCGGGGGATGGGGCAACCCCAGCGGGGACACCAACGGACTGGGGGAGAAGGCTTACCTGAGGAGGGAGGAGGAGGATGGCTCGCCCCAGGCGGGGAGCAGCGACGTGGACGTGGGGGACGAGGACAAGGCCTGCGTGGTGGACTGTGTGGTGTGCGGGGACAAGTCCAGCGGGAAGCACTACGGCGTGTTTACCTGTGAGGGCTGCAAGAGCTTCTTCAAGAGGAGCATCAGGAGGAACCTCAGCTACTCCTGCAGGTACATCTGGGCATCACACGACTTGGTCAATATTAGTTTTTTTTTCTTCAGGGACTCTTCGCGAGACTTTATCCGAAAATATTTTCAACATGTAAGAAGATAATTGTTGCATACCTGCTGAAAGCGAAGGCATGTCTGTTAGTTTGTTTGCCTGTCTGTTAGCAAAATATCTCAGGAACCAGTGGAGGGATTTAAATGAAACTCACAGAAAGTAAACACTGGATAAACGCACACAGCTGGTTACCTTTTGGAGTCAGTTCCTTTAAAGATGGCCGCCACAGCTAAATAAATTATGAAACACACAAAAAACGGCTTTGCCTCAATTAGTTTTATAGATCCCCAGTTCATGTTTTGTGTGTCAGTAGCTGAGAGTCATCCTCAACGGAGAATCTGATCGTTATGTGCCTGTGACAAATGGCTGGGGCGGCCATCTTGAACTAAAAGGAAGGCGGCGATCGAAACACTTATTTAGCTCTTTAAAGTGGTTTTAATTCTATTGTTAAAATTATTATCAGTAGTTGGGATTTTCCCTTAGTTCTAAACTAAAGACTTTGATGCCTTTAGAAATGTTTAGTACAAAAGAATCATTTAAAAGTCTTGTATAATGCACGACCTTCATCATGGTGAAAGCGGATAAACACATTTCTCACTCAGGAATGATATCTTGCCATCTGAGTTTCATCCCACCAGCAGCCTCCAGACAAAACAACAAACACAAAAAGAGCAGAAATGAGGCCCTGAAGGTTTGTCATGTGAGGATGGATCGCCTCAGAAGGTCAACATTCCCATTATTCTTCACCGCAGCAACGCCGTGCTGCAGCTCTGCGCCGTCTCCAAGTCCTCCCTCGGCCAACAAATACAGTTGTTTATTCCACGTCGAAACTGAATTAACTCCGAGGAGAAAACACACCTCTTTTATTCGTTTTTCTTTTTGCTCATCTGGGCCTGAAAGGAGCTCTCTGTGAAATGTTGGCAGAACTCAGCCGGCTGTAAAAAGCAACACAAGGGTGTGTAACGCTGATGATTTACAAAGGTCACGGTTCCAGTAGCTTTTCAGCCATGCTGGTTCATGCAGTTCACTCATAACAGGAGAGAAAAGGGGGAAGTGTGTGGGGGAGGCAAACATAAATATAAACTTCACTTTCTTGTCGAAAAACTCTAGGAGCTGATTTTACGACGATTACATTACAAATATATATATATATAT